AGGGAGCGCCGCACTGTCGGAGGGTCAGTGCTGAGGGAGGGGGCACTTTCGGAGGGTCAGTGCTGAGGGAGTGGGCACTGTCAGAGGGTCAGTACCTCATTGATGCGTTCATTCCTGCGGGCATCAAGCTGTGCCAGGTCATCCAGGTAGTTAGCGTGTTCGACGACCTCTCTGTTTCTAAAGTAATCCGGGAAGTAAGTTGGCTCGGGAGATGGTGACCCTGAGGTGCGAGAGGAAATCATCTCAAACTCAACACAATCAGTGAGTTCTCCTGTCGGACAATCTCACACCCCACCCCACCCAGGGGGAGGGAACGGGAAGGGGTTTGGGGTCCATGGGGACGGTGTAGAGCGGGAGTGAACGGGAAGGAGTTTGGCTTCCATGTTGACGGTGTAGAGCAGGAGGGAACGGGATGCGGTTTGGGTCCATTGGGATGGTGTAGAGCGGGAGTGCACAGGAAGGAGTTTGGGTCCATCGGGACGGTGTAGAGCAGAAGGGAACGGGAAGGGGTTTGGGGTCCATGGGGATGGTGTAGAGCTGGAGTGAACAGGAAGGGGTTTGGGGTCCATTGGGACGGTGTAGAGCGGGAATGAACGGGAAGGGTTTTGGGGTCCATGGGGACGGTGTAGAGCAGGAGCGAACGGGGATGGGCTTTGGGGTCCATTGAGACCCTGTAGACTGAGAGAGAACTGTGATCGGTATTATAGGGACCTGGTTGATGGATGGACAGGACTAGCAGCTCAATGATGCAGGAGTGAGATGTTTCAGGTCAAATCGAGAGTGATGTAAAAGGGCTGAGGGTTTTGCATTACTGACTAAGGAGATGGCACAGCTGTAACAAGAGACAACATTGGGGAGGCTGCATGGACAGACCTGAAGAATAAGAAAGCTGCAGATATCATTCTGGGGTTACACTCTCAGCCTCTCAATAGCCAGCTCGAGGTAGAGGAACACATATGTCAGCAGATCATGGGGAGATATAAAACCAACAGGGTGGGTGTTTTTAACATCCCCAGTACTGTCAGGGACTTAGCTGGAGGAGAATTTGTTCGCTGTGTCCAGAAGAGTTTCTTGACACAATATGTAGACACTCCAACTCGGGATGGGGGGCCATATTGGGCCTTGTACGAGGGAATGGACCTGAACAGGTTGTCGAAGTGTCAATGGGCAAAGATTTTGGGAACAGTGATCATAATTCTGCAAGTTTTAAGATAGTTCTGGATAAGGCTGGTCCTCAGGTGAAAGTGCTAATTTAGGGGAAAACTAATTCCAACATTATGAGGCAGGAGCTGCAGAAATTCGACCGGGGTGGGGTGGTGCGAGGCGACTATTTGAACATCAGTTCATGTCTGAGATGTGTGAAGGTTTGAAAAGTCAGTCGGTCAGGGTTCAGGACCAGCATATTCCCATGAGGATGAAAGGTAAGGATGGTAGGATTCAGGAACCCTGGACAATGAGTGATGTTGTGAGTTTAGTTCGAAAGGAAAAGGCAGCGTGTGTAAGGTTTAGGAACTGAAATCAAACAAGGTCCTTAAGGAGGATATAGGAAGCAGGAATAAACTTAGAAAGGAAATTTGGAAGCTAGAAGGGGCCATGAAATGTCCTTGGTGAGTCAGATTGAGGAAAATCCCAGGGTGTTTAGAAGGAAGAGGGTAACTCGGGAAAGGATTGGTCCACTCGAGGACAAAGGAGGGAATTTCTACATGGAGCCAGAGGAAGTGGGTGAGGTCCTCAATGCATTCTTCACATTGATATTCACTGAGAAAAAGGAGATGGCTAATGGTGAGATTGGGGAGGGGCATGTCGATATTAGGGAGGGGCGGGTCGATATTAGGGAGGGGTATGTCGATATTAGGGAGGGGCATGTCGATATTAGGGAGGGGCATGTCGATATTAGGGAGGGGTAGGTCGATATTAGGGAGG